CCCCCCCCCCCCCCCCCCCCCCCCCCCACCCCCCCCCCCCCCCCATTCACCCCTCCCTAAACCCCGTTTACCCTTCCCTCTCACCCTCTATTTCTCCCTCCCCCTTACCCCTGCATTTTTCTCTCATCCCTCCATTTCCCCCTCCCATTCCTTCCCCTCACGCAACCCACCCCCCTCCTCCCTTCCTTCCTCTGCTTCCCCTTGTGGGATCATACTATCGATGCCCTGCCCACGAAGTGCGTCCAGCGGGACTACAGCGGGAAGTGGCGGCGGGGCGGGCGCTACATCAATTCACCTGGCTTTGTTTTCCCCGGGCGGTTTGGCAACTCGAACACAAACCGCCCCAAACCCCTCGGGATTTCCAAATACCCAATGAATTGTCTACAGTTCGAGGCACCCACCAAACCCAACCCAACCTATGGGGGTGAATAAAAATGAAAGACGACGTGAAGAAGAATAACGAGAGAAAATACAACGAAAAAAAAACCAAATCGGCGGGACGGTTATTTAAGGATCAGACGAGAAGAAGAAACGGCCGCCTGACGGTGTCCTGGAGCGGGGGCCGGGAGACCCCGCGCTTTCCTTCTCTCGAACCTTCGGACGGTTCCGGAACATTCCAGAACCGCCCCCGTCCCTCCCTTCCAGGGAATAGTCTGCTCACAAACGCAGGCGGGGGTGAGGGGGAAGGTCCTTTTAAAGAAACCCTCAGATTAACCCCATCCTCTCCGCTTTTCGACGGAAATTTTCATCTCTTTGTCTCCCCACGAAGGGAAGAGGACGCCTGAGTGGATTTATCGCTGGATTATTAATGTCATTGTGCGTCCATTCGGATCTCACTCCGTGCGTGAAAAGAAATAGAAGTGACCCGGAGCTACACAAGCCGGCGTTTTCGACCAAAAACGACACTTGTTTTTCTTCTCAGGCTGGGCTTCAGAAAAAAAACTCGACCAGGAACCACAGGGAGCGCAGCAGCTCATCTTCCACCTTAGAGAGCTACAGCAATGGGCAGGGGGGAGGCCCTTTGGGCCATCACGCCTATTCCTACCTCCTCAGCAACAACCACCTCACTTCTTTAATCCCATTTCCCAGCATTTAACCCATAGCCTTAGCATTGCAAGTGCACATCAAAATCCCTACAGTCAGAGTACACGGACAGACCCTTTGGTGCAATTCACGCCAACCAGGTATCCTAAATTAATCTAGTCCCATTTGCCAGTATTTGGCCCATATTCCCTCTAAACCCTTCCTATTCATGTACCCATCCAGCTGCCTTTGAAATGTTCACAGAATAGAATCCTTACACTGTGGAAGCAGGCCATTCTGCCCATTGAACCCTCTTAACAGCAGACCCACCCCAATAACCTTGTATTTCCCATGGCTAACTCACCCAGCCTGCACATCCCTGGACACTGTGGGGCAATCTGGCCTGGCCTGGCCAAGCCAATCCACCCCAACCTGCACATCTTTGGACTATAGAAGGAAACCCATGCAGACACTGGGAGAACATGCAAACTCCCCATAGATAGTCACCTGAGGGTGGAATCAAACTCACATCTCTGGCACTATGAGGCAGCAGTGCTAACCACTGAGCCACTGTGTTGTCGGTGAACTCACCTCCACCGCTTTTTCTGACAGCTCATTCCATACATGCACCACCTTCTCCGCGAAAATTTTACCCCTCAAGTCCGTTTTAAGTCTTTCCCCTCACACCTTAAAACTTTGCCCTCTAGTTTTGGACCCACTACCCTGGGGAAAAAAGACCTTGGCTATTCACCCCATCCATACCGCTCATGATTTGATAAACCTCTATAGGTCAGCCTTCAACAGTCCACAAGAAAAGCGCCAGCCTATTCAGCCTCTCCCTAAAGCTCAAACCCTGACAATATCCTTGCAAATCTTTTCTGAACCCTTTCAAGTTTAACAACATCCTTAACATTTTTAACAACATTGCAACCCACTGTTTTGTGCAGATGGTGAACAACGAATGGATATTCTTAATTGCCTTCTGAAATGGCTGAGCAAGCCACTCAGGTCAGATGGCAATTAGGGCTTGGAAACACCTGGTCAACAACTCCTAGATCCCACGAAAGGAAAACAGGGGAAAAAAAGCACACTGGCTTCTTCAACATTGTTTGGATTTCTTGAGGATTAGATAGGGTGGACAGTGGGAGCCTTTTTCCTCGGATGGTGATGGCTAGCACGAGGGGACATAGCTTTAAATTGAGGGGTGATAGATATAGGACAGATGTCAGAGGTAGGTTCTTTACTCAGACAGTAGTAAGGGCGTGGAATGCCCTGCCTGCAAAAGTAGTAGACTCGCCAACTTTAAGGGCATTTAAATGGTCATTGGATAAACATACGGATGATAATGGAATAGTTTAGGTTAGATGGGCTTCAGATTGGTTTCACAGGTCGGCGCAACATCGAGGGCCGAAGGGCCTGTACTGCGCTGTAATGTTCTATGTTCTGCCTCTATCACTCTTACAGGCTAAGAGTTTCAGATACAAACCACCCTCTGGGCGAAAAATTTGTACCCCACATCCCCTCTAAACCTTCTGCCCCTTACTTTAAATCTATTCCCTGGTCATTGATCCTGCCATCAAGGGGAATAAGTTTCTTTTTGTCTGTGCCCTTAGAGTCACACAACATGGAAACAGACCTTTCAGTCCAACTCATCCATGCCAATCAGGTATAACAACTAGTTCCATTTGCCTGTGTTTGGTCCATTTCACTGTAAACTTTTCTTATTCGTGTACTTATACATTTCAATCATGTCCGCTCTCAATCTCCTCTGCTCTATGGAAAACAACCCTAGGTTGTCCAATCTCTCTTCATAATCTTCAGACTGGGCAACATCCTGGTAAATCTCCTCTGCACCCTCTCCAGTGTAATCACATACCTCCTAGAAGGTAGATTCCAGAATTGCACACAGTACTCCACCTGAATATACTTGACCCTTCCAGATGCACTGTTGTTTAACAATTTCAGAACAATTTCCTCTCCAGTTCAACACCCACCCCGATATCATGTTCTGTGTGGGTTGCTGTCCATGTTCACACTCTGTTAGGTCCCTATTCAGCATTCATCTCCCTCCCAGTTTATCAGCAGCAATTCTTTGTCTGTTACTTCCTTTCTTTTCTCTCGCTCCTTCTCTCTGGGCACTATTTCCATCTACTTGTCCTCACTTCTTTACTCCACTGTGATCAGCATAAAATGTCTAACTACCGCCCTTTTGTGGGGTGCTCTTGTGTTACAGTGGTAGTATGCCTACTTCTCAGCCAGGACATCCAGGTTCATTTCCCACCTGCTCCAGAGGGGTTTCTGAACAGGTTGTTTAGAAAATATCTCTATATCACTCTTTTCCCAAATGCTTTCAATGCTGACATGGGGGTTAACTGGGTTTGTTTCTCTCCCCAAACATTGCCAGACCTGCTCAGTTTCTCCAGCACTCTGTTTGTGTCAGATTTCTAACATCACAGTATTTTCGTTTATATTACCCAGACAGCCAGGTAATGTCCTGGGTTTGAATCCTGACATGATAAATGATGGGATTTGAATTCAGAAATTAAAATATAAAATCTGGAATCAAGAGAGAGTCTAATGATGACCAGGAAAAGTTGTTAATTGTTAGAAAAAAGCCATCTGGTTTACTAATGTAACATAAGGAAAGAAATTTGCCATCCTTACTTGGTCTGGCTGACACATGACATCAGTTCCACAGCAATCCGGGTGACTGTCAACTGCCCTATGGGCAATTCAGGATGGGCAGTAAAAGTGGCCTTGCCAGCAATGCCTACAGCGAGGGTTGTGGGGACTAGAGGAGGTTAGAGATAGGATTGTAGACTGGAGGGATGTGCAGAGATAGGGGAGGGTGAAGCCACGGAGGGATTTTTTCATTCATTCATTTATGGAGCAAGAATGGCTTTGGTTAAGCCATCATTTATTGCCCTTCCT